GCTTTAGTATTAAAGTTACTCAGAAGAAAGTAAATACATGTATGATATAAATATAACCAGCGAAGTGTGTATAGTCATAGGAGATAAATGTAAAGAGCGAAGTGTGTATAGTCATAGGGGATAAATATAATCAGTGACGTGTATATTGTCATAGGGGATATGACTATTGATATCATTATATCCACTGAAGTGTGTATTTATCATAAGGGATATGAATATTGATATCATTGTAACCATTGATGTGTGTATTGTCAAAGACCTAGGGGATATGAATATTAATTAATATCATTGTAACCAGTGAATTGTCATATGGGATATGAATATTGATATCAATATAACCAGTGAAGCGTGTATTGTCATAGGGGATATGAATGTTGATATTAATATAGACGCGCTTATCAAAGAAGAATATATATATATATATATATATATATATATATATATATATATATATATATATATATATATATATATATATATATATATATATATATATGCAAGAGATTGTTTCTGATTGTATTATAAAGAAATAAAAGAATTCATTTTGGATGGATTAATTGTAATTCTAAAAACATCGCATGTATGGTATTTTATTTCTAGTACTTATAAAAAAGCTCTTTGCGGGGTCACATTTTTGTTTTCAAAACGGAATTTTATATGTATGGTTAAAAGCTTTTTTTTTTTTTTTTTTTTTACAGAAAACAGATGAGCATTATATATAAAGGTACAAGATATAATTGCAGAAAAAATCTTATGAGAAAGGAAGACACCAACTTCTGTTTCACTGATCATTATAAGAATATCCTGAAAATTGCTAATAATTTTGGTTTAGAGAAAAGAACAAATTACAAGATTGTTTTTTTTTTTACATTCTTCTTCAAAACTGTCCATAGCTATAATATAATCTACTTTACTCAAACACTAATTATTAAACTACAAGAGCTCCATTTACCACATTGATAACCCGAATAATTCAACATTTTCTAGACTTTATACATTAATGCCCAAAATTGGGACTTGTCATGCAGTTTTCGGGTTCAGTCTTGGAAAACATGTAATGGAATTCTGATAACTCATCCTTTTTCCATTCATTAAGATTCGCATCAACTTAAGTTTTTCATGTCATCAGTTTTGACATAGTACCAGTTTTGACACATCCTACATTGCATTCCATATACAAAATTTTATCAGTCCAGTTTGAAGAGCCCCCAGAAGGAGCAACAATGATTGACAAACAAAAAGGGAGGAGGCTCCAATTAGTACAACAAACATAATCTTTTATAATAATGAGAGCAATACTTATTTATTTATTGATAAATGCATACATACCAAATATATAACGATATTCAGAATATGCAAGTCGATAGAGCTCTAAAAGATCATGTGACCGTATAAAAGCTGTAGTGTTAACTAGTCTTGCATATTGCGGGAAAAGCTCAGATAGGAGTAATTAAGGAAAACAGCTACAGGGTTAACCACCAGTTTTTAGGGTTTACTATCAGTGTAATCTACAGGGTTTACCACTAATGTAATTTTCAGGGTTTACAACCAGTGCAATCTACAGGGTTTACCACCAGTGTAATCTACAGGGTTTACCACCAGTGTAATCTACAGGGTTTACCATCAATGTAAGCTACAGGGTTTACCATCAGTGTAAGCTACAGGGTTTACCATCAGTGTAATCTGCAGGGTTTAATACAGTGTAATCTACAGGGTTACCACCAGTGTAATCTACAGGGTTTACCACCAGAGTAAGCTAAAGGGTTTACCACCAATGTAAGGTTTCAGTGATTACCATCAGTGTAAGCTACAGAGTTTACCATCAGTGTAATCTACAGGGTTTATTACCAGTGTAATCTACAGGGTTTATCACCAATGTAATCTTCAGGGTTTACCATCAGTGTATTCTACAGGGTTTACCACCAGTGTAAGCTACAGGGTTTCCCACCAGTGTAAGCTACAGGGTTAACCATCAGTGTAAGCTACAGGGTTTGCCATCAGTGTAAGCTACAGGGTTTACCACCAGTGTAAGCTACACGGTTAACCATGAGTGTAAGCTACAGAGTTTACCTTCAGTGTACAGGGTTTACCACCAGTGTAAGCTACACGGTTAACCATGAGTGTAAGCTACAGAGTTTACCATCAGTGTAAGCTACAGGGTTTGCCATCAGTGTAATCTACCGGGTTATCCACTAGTGTAAGCAACAGGGTGTATTCGGTGTAAGCTATGGGGTTTTCCATGAGTGTAAGCTACAAGGTTTACCACCAGTGTAATACAGGGTTTACCACAAGTGTAAGCTACAGGGTTTACCAACAGTGTAAGCTACAGGGTTTACCACCAATGTAAGCTAAAGGGTTTACCACCAATGTAAGCTTTCAGTGATTACCATCAGTGTAAGCGACAGAGTTTACCATCAGTGTAATCTACAGGTTTATTACCAGTGTAATCTACAGGGTTTATCACCTATGTAATCTACAGGGTTTACCACAAGTGAAAGCAACAGGGTTTACCACCAGTGTAATCTACAGAGTTTAACTTCAGTGTAAGCTACAAGGTTTACTATCAGCGTAAGCTACAGGGTTAAACATCAGTGTAATCTACAGAGTTTACCATCAGTGTAAGCTACAGGGTTTACCATCAGTGTAAGCTACAGGGTTAATCGTAATCTACAGGGTATACCACCAGTGTAATCTACAGGGTAAACCACCAGTGTAAGCTACAGGGTTTACCACCAGTGTAATCTACAGAGTTTACCTTCAGTGTACGCTACAGGGTTTACCATCAGCGTAATCTACAGGGTTTACCACCAGTCTAAGCTACAGGGTTTACCACCAGTGTAATCTACAGGGTATATCACCAGTCTAAGCTACAGGGTTTACCACCAGTGTAATCTACAAGGTATACCACCAGTGTAAGCTACAAGGTTTACTATCAGCGTAAGCTACAGGGTTAAACATCAGTGTAATCTACAGAGTTTACCATCAGTGTAAGCTACAGGGTTTACCATCAGTGTAAGCTACAGGGTTAATCGTAATCTACAGGGTATACCACCAGTGTAATCTACAGGGTAAACCACCAGTGTAAGCTACAGGGTTTACCATCAGTGTAAGCTACAGGGTTTACCATCAGTGTAAGTTACGGGGTTTGTCATCGTGGCAGACATTATATATACGCGCCAGAATAATGCATAAAGTAGTGCATTGCTATCCCTATTTCTTTGTAAATAGATATGTAAATATCAAGTGTGATGTTCCCCGAAATAAGGAAGGATCATACCTTTGCTTATTCTGAACAACCATTTAAAGAGAAAAATTAGTTGTTAGTACAATTATTCCAAACCTAATGCTAGGTCTTGGAAAAAACCAGAAACGGACATCTAAACACGTTACAAATAGAGATATTGTGTATGTTACAATAAAAGTCCGTGTTTTCGAACACCAAACACTGTAAAAATAATACATGTAAATGATTTAACCAGCAGACACCACACACACAAACAAGGCATCTTTTCTCTTTTTCAATGTTAGGATTAGCTCCATTGATAAAAATCGTTTCAGTTATACAATTCCCAAATTCGCGGTACATTTTCTCATTTCAGACTGAACTCCTGACAAATCGATGACCATTCATCAATGAAATTTGCACTTTAATAAAACTATTTTTCTTGAGATAATTATTCAAACACAATCCGAGTTTTTACTCAAAACAGCATATCTTTGCTCAACGCTAGAGTAAAGTTTTATGTACCCTTATTAATTTTCTGATATTTAATGAGACTAGTTCATGCAAATATAATCAGAGAACTGGAGTAAGATTTCGATTGAATATTTTTGTCGAATAAAGTGGCTTGATCTTCTTCTTCTTTTTTTTTTTTAAAGATATGAGAATTATTAAATTGGAAAAAAAGTTTACATTTCGGTACGGTTAGTCATTTTTTACCTTAAAGATCTGTATCCAATGAAATCTTTAATGACTTTTTTAAGTCATACATACAATGTAAATAATTAAAAAGGTTTTGATCTTTAAGGGTTTACTCACATTGATCATGGTATCATTAGTTGTTAAGACCAAATTCATAAATTTGATCAACAGATTTTTAAGTAAACCAGATTTTCCCTTTGTAGGACGACTTCATCAATTAATTATGGTATAAATACTTGTTAAAATCTGAACATTTTTTATAGAAATAACATTTACAATAATTATTGTACATATATGTATCTGATTAAATATTTAAATTCTGTTACCAAAACTAACCTTTAAGGGGTGACTTTTCCCCCGTTTTTGAATGACATAATTCATAATAATTAAAAAAGTAATGAATTTTTAGAACAAGTATACTGTACAGTGTAGTCTACGAATGATATTTTGACATCATCTTACATTATCCCTATAAATGGCCGTCTGGTTCGGGAGTGTTGGGTCGCTCAAAGAGGAATAACTTCAACTTAAATATAAAAATGGTTTTAAAGGCTTGGATCCACTATAAAATCAGTTCCAATTGAATCCTAAGACCGTACATATATTTTATATAAAGCTTGTAATTTGTCACCCAGAATGAACTTAGAAGCTTTACCTCAGAGAGGAACCATCAGACAAAAATTATCAAGTCAGTAGACGGTAACACACTAATACTGCTAAAAATAACAAAGAAATCAAATTACTTTTAGGACTGATAAAGTGAGCTAAAAAATGAAGAAGAAAAAAACAACAACAACAAAGAGACAAATTTAAAAGAAAAGGTTTAATTCATAATGCTACAGGGATGCAGCTCAATACACAACATTTTATAAATGCCTTTGAAATAGAAATTAACAAAAATATTAACTTTTTATTATTAACTTTTTAAAGCAAATATGAGAATACATGTATATTGTTCACTCAAAAATCATAAATATTTTCTGAGGTAAATCGATAATCTAAATCACACAAATACGTCAACTATGTCATTATATCACAATAAACAAAACATAAACTACCGGTAATTGTATGTAGTAAATAATGTTTTTTTTTTTGTTGTTGTTGATTAGAAATGCCAAAATTTGATACTGTTAAGTAAACTGTCATGCAAATGCCTTAGTATTTAGACTAGATAATTCATGAGATTCTCCGGTTTCTTTAAACTAAATTTAGACTTCAATAGTGCCTCTATTGCTATAAGTCCCCTCATTTTCTTTGTTAATACTATCCTCCACCATTTCGCACAGGCAAGCTCTGTAGTTTCTCGTCCTATGTCGCTTACTGGCACTCTCAGGTAGGGAAGTCCAGTTTATTAAGCCATTTCTCTGTTGCAAATCCTCCAACTTTTCCTCAATCAAGTCATCTGCAGTTTTCTATAACATAAAACTTAAAGGAATGGCTCTAAGTTCTATCAAAAATGTGAAAATGAAAGAAATACATGTATACATTACTTTGAGTTAAATAATGAAAATAGCCCCTCATACCCTTATATCGTTTTCATTCATCGTCGGTCTCTTTTTCTTCAGCATTAGACAGACATAATTCTACAAGAATGTGGTATGTACGTGTAACTGATAGGCTTAGGATAAAAAGTGTTTTCTTTCCAAAATCGATGAGTTATGATTACATATAGTATTGTTTTACTTACTCTGCATTCAGTGGTATCATACTTAAAAATGTTCAGCTGATGGAAAATGTAAGGTAAAAAATTACTATCTTACATAACACACGCCTCTCTCTCTCTCTCTCTCTATATATATATATTTAAAGAATTAAGTTAAATAAGCACGTATTCGAAAAGTTTGTCAAAGATACACTGGGCTTCAAGACGGTGCTGTCATCGTAGTAAATCAAACATTTACTTTTCTGGTAGAACTTTACATTCAGACGAAACACGACGATGCGAACAGATGATGACAACTACAAAAAATATCAATACAATACATATTTCATTTATTTTGATTTACAACAGACATAAATCTGCCATGCTTTTTTCAATCAAAGCAGTGTGCTCTTTTAATTGTAAGGAAATATGTTCTTCATTTTGATGTACGTTAATCTGCAATACGAGGGTTGAAGTTCGTGGAATTTCTAAATATTTCATTTATTTATTAGTGGAAGTGATTGAAAATTACAGATGAAAATAAATTCGCTTGTTCAATTTTCTTAATTATTAAAAATACTTTAAATATTCATAATAGAAACACTTTGGGGATTGTCATAGAAACGGATGTTTGAAAATGCTGGGGGACATTTATTCGTTCATTATCATTTCAATTCTTAATACTCACTGTGAGACCACAAACGCGCTTAGTGCCATATTACACAAAAATGATGTGTTTGAACTCTTATGAACCTTTGTACGAAAGTTTTATCGATTTTATTGGATATTTAGTTTTTCTATTGATAATTTGTTGTTCATCATGACATCGTTAGACAACGTGAAATTTGGTCAAGTAAAAAGTTTTATGAAAACCTCTGGAACACTCTGACTTAAACGCATATATATACTAGTATATATCTTCTTGTGTATATTATTCTTTACTTGTATGCCCTGAGGGGCCCCAAATTGGTATCAATAAATCTTATCTTATATATATACTAATGATACAGACAGGGCAAAGGTGCACTAAGCAATTGGTTTTCAAATGGCGTAAGAAATTTAAGGAAAGTAGAACTTTTGTGGAGGATGATGAAAGGTAGGCCCGTTTGGAAAGCGTTTTTTTTTTTCCTCAAGGACAAATTGAGAGCGTTAACAAACGTGGACCGCCGACGCACTGTGCTTGATATTGCTACTGAAATCGGATCATCATACGGAACGATGGAGCGTATTTTGAAAATAATGGTAACATGAAGAAAGTGGGTGCGAGATGAGTACCCAGGCTTTTCTCGCGAGCAGAAATTGAGAAAAGAATTAAGCGTTCTGTAGAATTTCTAAGACGATTTGAACGTAATTATATAAGGGTGAGATGCTTCTAGAACTTGACACGTGACATTTCTTACTTGACGTCATGTCGACGTATCTCCCAGATTTTACAACTGCTCATTAAGAAAGCTCGTGTGACCTTATTGGTAATTAGAATGTAGTTAAATTTTCCAGTATTGTTGAATAATGGCTCTATTTTATAGATGTGTCTATTGTTTGCGTTAATCACAGTAAAATTTAAAGAAATTCCACGAACTTTTAGATCAACCCTCGTATATATTGTAGGAATTTAAACTTATACTTACATTTTTCCTACAAAAATACATGAAACACAAAGAACACGGGCAAATCAGGGCGCCAAGAATGGATCCAGTCAAAATAAGGACAATGAACCAAGTACCCTCTTGGAGGATGAGTTCGAAACCGACAAAAATGCTAGCAGTCAACAGAATTATTGCAAATATAAGAAGAAAGCGCCATCTAGAGACAAAAAGAGGGTAATTCCGAAAAAGTGTTCTTGAATTCAACTCATCTATAATGACGTTGTAATGGTTAGCACACTGAAAATAAACAAAAAAAAAAAAAACAAAAAAAAAAAAAAAAAACAAAAACAAACAAACAAACAAAAAAAAAACAATTTTATAAAAAGTTTGGTTACTGATATCTGCATTTCTTTAAAAAATTAATTACTATTTTCAATATTATGAAGAAAAAAATGGACAAATCAACACATTCCATAAAAAATTGAAGTCTCTGAGGAGACTGTAGCTCTAATGGTCTGTATTTATACTAAAGGAAGAGAAAGGTAGCACTTGAACTTGAGACTATGACAACAGCAATAAACAGAATAACGATCCTTGGTTTAGTCTCATTATGTGACAAGTTTTTTTTTTTTTCAATCCAACTAAACTGAAGGAGGAATAGCCTTTTGAAAGTATATCACAGAAATTTCTATTTTTAGTAACCAATGCAACGCCGTTATTCAAAATAAAAAGAAAGATATAAGAATCACTATCCTAATGTAGTCCACTTCAATGTATAAAAAAAGTTTCATTGAAATTAGATCAAAACAGGGGGAGGAGTAGTGTTTTGAAAGTATTTCACAAAATATTCTAGTTTTAGTAACCATATCATTTATCCAAATCAAAAACCAGTTGGGAGAATTATGCATTTTAGTGTAGTCTACTTGTGTACCAAGTGATATTGAAATCCTAGAACTGTAGGGGGAGTGGCATTTTGAAAAAAAAAAAAATGTTTACAGACAGCCAAACAGACGGAGGGACGACGGACACCTTACTATCGCATAAGCTCTTATGGTCTCTGACCAATAGAGCTATATGTAAATGTAATACAATCAAAATATATAATATAAACTGCAAGTGATAGCATATCTCGTATTATTGGGGATATAATGTTACAATTTACTGGATGGATGCAAATACAAAATTTAAAGAAAAAAGATCTAAAGGCCAGTTTGGGGTGGCTATAAGAATAATGCAAAAGGTCTTCGCAATTAAAAACTTTCAGGATCATTGAGTTAATATATATAGGGAGATATAGAAAAATAAATTATCACCTTTCTTTTGGCCTCCATGTAAGCTTCGCATTAAAATCAATTATAGTTCTCAAGCAAGCATCATCTAAGGTTCTTAATGAAAAACTATCAGGATTTTATTCGTGTTTTCATTTTTATGTCAAAAAGCTTAAGGGGCCAAATTGAAGGTTAGCGTCACAATACCTTGTCCTTTAAACATGCTCACGTTATTTGGTTGTAAATTATGTATTTCAATACATCCACTCAGAAAATTCGAAAGTTATAAAATGATGAGTTCTTGAAATAGCTAACCACTTAAAACGTTGAATGTGAACATGCAGTTTGCTAATACCTCCATGGTATTGAGATCAAAAGAGGAGATTTTCTCTTTTTCGTGATCTTCAAGTGGATGAAATCTATAAGAGTTGCCATGGTCCAAAAATTTTGCTTTTGAGGCGAACTTCTGACAAAGAAAGGTTCCGTTATATGTGTTAAGGGTAACATTGTCCACTGCAATAGAATGTCCTTAATTAGTTAAAAAAACACAAAAAAGCACAAAATATCTTTTCATGCACTGATCATGAGAGCATTAAATATAAAACATATGCTGATTGATAATAATTTATTAAACCAATGTGCATCACACATTACTATCACCTTAAAAATCAATTTAAGCGATGCACAATCAATTTTATTGATGTATAAAAAGAGAAAAAATAAAACTCACCATTCCGTTTTTTGTGTAAAGGATCGATAGAACCTGCAGGAAAAATGCATATAATTCAACTTCGTAGAAGACCCGTACTCTAGGTATTAAATAAGAGTATGATTTTTGTTGTTGTTGTTGTTCTTTTTTTTTTTTTGGTGAACCGAAATGATTTAAAAATTATAAAACAGCTTCATTACTTTAACTTTGCTCAGGGACGCATTATCATTAATGAAAGGAAAGGGGCTGGGGAGGCAGCAAGAGAAAAAATTTCAAACTACCTAAAAAAAAAAAGAAAATTTTCCAAACTCTAAAATTCTTTTTCGTGGGTGTGAGGGTAGGTTTCAACTTCTTTCAGTACCATTTTTTTTCATGCACTACTACATTACCCTTATTTGATAATACTGCAACAGAAAGTGGGGGGGGGGGGGGGGGGGCTTTTAATGAACATTTTCAATAGTAAAAAATTACGTTTAAAAAAAGGGGATGCAGTCTCACATGTTGCGGCATTCTCGATACTTGCGAACCGAATTAAATGCTGAATTCACAACTTATTAATAGTACAATGCCTTTAGTACTCACCAACATCGTTTTTATGGTTTGTTTATGAAATATACAGTCTGGTGAAAACATTTTATCAGACCGTCGAGTTTTCTTTTCATTTCGTGCATTTTAAAATCTTGCAAGACCTGTTTGGTTTGAACATATTTTATTGTTTAGATATTACAACAAAAGGATCGGACACAAGTTCTTAAAACTTAGAACGTCCTCTCTTTTATAACAATTCATCACACAAAATAATGTTAAAAATTAAACTACACTGGAACCAAAGGTCAATACGATTATCTTACATAGGTTGTGCATGTACAAAAT